CGTATGGCTTGTAGATGGTTTTGCAGCTGTAAGATCACCGATAAAGCTAACAGTAAATTCATACATTTTCAATGCAGTGCGGAGCCTATTGGAGTGTACAACTCCAGCACACTCATTCTTCCATCTTTCCATGCTATGGCAGGCTGCGATGCAGCAACTTAAACGTTTAGGGCTGGCAAAGTCAGGATTCTGAAAAAGCTCATGAAAGATCCAAAGTAATGTGGTTACCTGTCTTCAGTAGGATAGCGTACACATTTTTCAAATGAGGATACTACATAAGTGACGGACTTCTTCAAAAGTTGCCATGTACGTAATCACCAAAGGATGAAAACGAGATCAACCATGTCATTGCACCCGTTGCCCCCAGACCCTGATTCTGCTGTCCAAGCCATTCTTAAAGTGCATTTTCAATTTGTCGAATTTAATGAAAAGCATGCCAAAAAGTTTAATATTGACTACTTCTATTGGAAGGCATGAGCAACAAATTCCACCTAGTTTTACGTCAAAAGGCAGCATTAAGAAGAGAAACACGCCGTCTAACGCGAGCGATGCAAGCACATCAATATAACTATTAGATAGAAATAAGAGGAGACTAGACACTAGGATTTGCATAAGCTTGTTAACACCATACTTCGCGAGATTTTTGCGTTGCGTTGTTTGAAATTCATTCTTTGCGTTGCGTGATTACTGAAAGCTAACGTTTTTGATTTTTTTAAATATGGAAATTTTCTGTCCGTAGGAATGGATTCTTTTTTAAACTAAAATTACAATCCTTTTTATAAAAAATTTTACACTTTAAGATGATTTTTGACAAAAAAATTAGATTTGAATGCATGTTGATTTGCCATTTTGATGAGGTCATGAAATTTATAAATACCTTTTTCTTGCTATCTGTAAGAAATACAATAGTGGTTACTTAGATGCATTTTCTTTAAATGATGAGTTTTACTCGTTGGAGTAGAAAAATGTTTCGACAAAAAAAATGTTATGGCCTTTAGAAAATGACTTCATCTAAATGACATACAAACCTTGATGTAATTTGGTTCCTTCTGGCTTCTTTCAGGCTTTATAGTTGACAAGACTCAAGACTACAGAGCGTTCTTCATGCTGTCAGGGATACCTCCTATATTAACATGTCTGCTTCTGACGCCACTTAGGTATATGAAAAAAGTCGAAGTCCCTGATAAAGAAGTAAACGAGAAGGTGACGGATGAGCAAGAAATAAAGGATGTTGAGGTGGATGTTGAGGTAATAAGGAATGAAAACACAAACAAATAATTTGAAATTTACTCTACGTGAAGATTATTGGCCGGTAAGTTAGTTACGATAAGCAGCGTGTTTGAACAAGTAACTTCTCAATAGGCTTCGTTTTAAAGGAACTAGTTCAATTTGCAATTTTGCTCAATATTTTCCACATGTAAGGAAGACAACTTTCTTCTGAAATTAATACCTAAGTTCTAAAAATTGCCCCAAGAAATCATCATGTTCAATTAGAGACATTTCTCATTTGGTGTTTTCTCAGTGGAAATAGAGTTTAATGTTTTAATTCTAATAGTGCTTAATTCCAATATTAAAGATTTTTGTGACTTCACAATTGTATCTGTTTGTTTTAAACCGTATTAACATAATGTCTCAGACATTATTATTGTTATTGTTATTATTATTATTATTATTATTATTATTATTATTATAAAATTATTTACAGTAGACGAAGCAAATTTTGTAGCTAATATAACAGCTAATTAAAGCCTACTATTTATACTACATTTACAAATCTTAAATTAATTACAACGAATGGATAAAATGATATAGGAAATGTACAAAATTTAAAGGATGACTCATTAGATAAAAATATACAATTATTCGATGACTATTTCAAGAATTCAATCTGCGCAACGTAAGTTTTGCATAGTCTGCAGTTGCATTTTGTATCTTTCCAAGTTTTAATCTTTTTCTTAAATATTGCGAGGCTAGAAGTTGTTTTAATGTCATTTGTAAGCTCTTGCCAGAGCTTGGATCCCATAAAGGTTGTACTTTCTATACCATAAAAATTTGATTTGGTTTTGATAGCGATATTCGGGATATGTTTCTAAGATTATAGCATGTATTTCTTTCAGTAAAGATTTCTTTCATGAAACTTGGGTTGAGATTATGTAAAGTTTTATATATTTCTGTAAAAAGCAATTGCAGATTTTTATCATGGATAGATGTCAAGTTGTCTTTTTCAAGAAGAGTTTGAAAGCTTGATTCATAGTCATCATAGGCAAGGCAAGACGCAAAGACTTTTCATGAATTCTGTTTATTCTGTTGTTCATCTGTCGATCACAAAACATCCAAATTAAAGAGCAGTAGCTAAATTGTGATAAAATGAAGACGTGCATGGTCTGTTTTACTTTTTTATCATCCACAAAGTTGAAGATTCGGGATAAAGCATGTAGCTTTTGGCTGGCCTTTTTGCATATCGATTGTACGTGTCCTTTGAACGACAGATTATTATCAATACTTATTCCAAGAAGTTTTTGTTCTTTACTTGGTTTTATTATCGTTTTATCTATTTTCAGAGATGTGTCATTGCTGCCTTTACCAAAATTTATAAGGTGGCATTTGTCCCCATTCATTTTCATATAATTGTATTGAAACAATTCTCTCAAAATAACTACGTCTTGTTCTAGTATTTTAGTAGCCTGCTTAATGTCTTGGTAGATGACATATATCGTTGTATCATCAGCATAATTGCATATTTGGCTATTTGATATAAACATAAACATATCATTTATGTAAATATTGAACAAGAGAGGTCCCAGAACTGATCCTTGAGGCACACCTACACTCGTGGTTTTACATTCACTGAAAGAGCCGTTTACTTTGATTCTTTGTTTTCTCTGGCTAAGGTACGAAAATGTGAAATTCAAGGCGCTTCTACTAAAACTATAAGCATTGAGTTTAGCAATCATTAGGTCATGATTCAGACAGTCAAATGCTTTTGACAGATCCATCAATAGTGCACTGGCTGTTTGTTTAGTATCTAGAGTTTTTTTGCAATTTTCTATGAGTCTGAGTAATGTATGTTGGGTGCTATAATTCCTTCTGAAACCACATAGCAGTGGTGATAGAAAACCATGAGCGAAGGGAGTAATTTGTGATTCCATGATTCTCTCATATATTTTTGATGTTGACGGTAAGGTAGCAATTGGTCTATAATTTTTCTTACTGAATTTATCATCTTTTTTATGCAACGATGATATGTCTCCTAATTTGAGTTCTTTTGGAAATGTCATATTAGATAGGTCCTCATTAAATGTTCTTTGTAAAATTTCAGAGAAAATGTCTGAATATTCTTTAAATATCCTAGCAGGCATACATTCTATTGGTGAGGCCTTTCTGGTATTAAGTTTGTTTATCTGATCCCAAGTTACCCCACTGCTAACTTCCCTAAATTCAAAGGGCTGTGGGTCAGGGTACATTTCTCTTATTTTTATGATACTTGGGTGGTTTTTATATTTCTCAATGACTTTATCAATTGGGTCATTTATACCTTCTGTAACTGACATGTGAGCTATATCTTGTTGAATTCCTAGACCTTGTGTTATGTTTATAAAGTAGTTGTTAAATGATTCTACAATCTTGCGGTCATCACTAATTAATTCTCCATTTTCTTCCAATATAATGGAGGGTGTTGTTATTATCTTTTCTGCAAAGACCGGTTTGATCACTCTCCAGAATTTGCGATTATCTGTAAGATTACTTAAGTCTAGGTTTCTAAAATAACTGCTTTTAGCATTACGTAATAACTTTACACATTTGTTCCTTTGCCGTTTATATGCTTTATGATTTTCCTCATTTTTGTTATTAGTATATGTATTTTTCAATTTGCTACGATGCATTATTGCCTTACGTAATTCTTTCGTCATAAATGGCCTGTTGTTTGCACGAACATACTTTCTCTTAATGGGGGCATGTTTATTAAGAAGACTTTTGACTGAGATATCAACACTTCCGTAGTCTCTAAAGTTTAGTATTCGATGATTCAAAATTTTAGATCTAAAGCTCGGAATATCGAATTTTTTGCAGTCTCTATATGTAAGTATTTTGGGACCTCTCTTGGTGAAATCACCTTTGAGTATGCTCAGTATCATTACGTGGAAGTCAGACAACCCTGTTTCAACATTAGTCGTGTTTTGAAAGTGACTTTTACAGTTCGTCAGTATCAAATCTATACATCGTGGGTTGTCTGACTTGTGACAGGTTGGATTCTTGATCAAGTTAACTAATTTATAAGTGTCCATGAAAACATTGCAATTTTTCATTCACATTTCCTTTGTCGTTGATTGAAAGGTTTTCACGGCTTTCATGGCTACCAGCAGTGGCGGACACTTGGGGGGGCGAGGGGGGGCGACCGCCCCCCCCAATACTTTAGAGAGCAATGGACTTTTGTTCTAAAACAATGGGAAATGTGACGTCATCTTATTAAAACAATAGGCTTGCCCCCCCAATATTTGACCAAGTGTCCGCCACTGGCTACCAGTAGGTGCTCCTTCGTCGAAAAACTTGGTTTTTAATTTAAAATTTTCCACCACAAAATTATGATATTTCTCCCTTTCCTCAGCGAGGATACTTTGCATATTTGCTAGGGTGGTGGTGAGTTGTGCGAAGCTCTTGAGGACATCGCTAGCTATGGAGGGCTCAGGTTTTCGTCGAATCGAGCACGATCTAGTGAGCATTGTTGCCTGTCCAGCTCTGTGTCGGTCTGCGTACATTACGTTTTTGTTGTTGCATGCATTTTGTAACGGACTGAATCATAGATACTTTTCGTTAATTTTAGTTTTTCCTTTAACTCTATCTGAACTCCGCCATCATGAAAAGTCAAAATGCCCTGCTCACCTAGGTCTTTCATGGCTCGACAGACATCATCATCGGCTAGGCCTAAGAGTGCTTGAACTTCGCGTGTGATAATTTCACGATCTAGATCTTTTTCTTGACATGCTTAATGTTTTCTACCACGTCAAGCAAAGCTTTGCCTCGATTAATCTTTATGTTGTTGGACTTGAACGTTATGTTGGACTTGAACGCAAGAAACAACGGCGACTTATTGATTATGAAACAGCTGTTGTGCTTTGAAACAGCTGTTGTGTGAATGTCAGTGACCGTACGCGCGGTCAAGTGGAGGTCGGCCTTTAGGGCTCAGGCTCCCATCCCCATTGCACCCATTAAGCAATTAACTAATCGAAAGTCCAATATAATACAAAATGCGGCAAGAAGAACAAGAACAAGTAAGAATGTGGCTCTTTTAGAAGAATGATATGAATGGCAGCTTGATCTGCAGTGATCCTACCGGTGCAGTTGATCAAAAGGACATTAGACCAATGGTATATAAGCGACGAAGTCGCTAGATGTCTAACTCTATTGTTCTCAAGTGAGGAAAAATCACTCATGCAGTAAAAGGGCAAAACGACGATTCCGCATAAGGGCTCAGTATGGGAAATTCCGAAGCTGGCAAACGAAACCAAAAATTTTAGAAAATCTATTTAATTTAGGAAGGTAACATATATTTTGTCAGCTTACCGTATGCATTTAGAAGGTTTTAAGCCATAATTTTTGTTTGTACACGGGTTTTGAGATTTTTTAATTTTTTTTACCGTGGCGTTGATATGGTTTAGAGAATATTTATATTTCTAGGAAGATTATTTTTGGGCTTATTTACAAAAATGTCACGCTTATACAAAAATCTTGTGTTAATTTTTTATCGTAACATTAAGGAACCGTGGTAAAAGAGGTCATCTTCAATCCTGATTCAGCCACGCCCCCTTCCTACAACATCCTGATGTCCGTAAATAAAAGTCTGGTTTGCTGATGAATGTTAGAGGGAAGGTCTTGTCATAGGAAAAACTTGAAATGGATATTTATAATACAAATTTTCACTCCTTACATCTGAAATATTTACTAGAAGTCATATGCAGGGGGTTGCCGAAATAGGGGAGTGTTCATTCAACAAGTTGTCATAATGATATAAGACTAAGAGTACTTGCTTACATCTACCCTTCAACTTATAAAATACAAAATAAACCCAATTTTGAAATTATATTTGGTTTTTTTGCAAATAAACCCGAAAACAGTCTACCTGAAAAGGTAAACATTGCCTAGGCCAGATTGGACCGTGCGAGCGCCGCAGCAATAAATGTTTTAAAAATCTTGAAACCCTATTTAACAACACAATTTATGGCTTAAAACTTTTGAAATTAATACGGCAAGCTAGCAAAGTATAACTAACCTTTCAAAATTATGCTGATTTTCGATAATCTTGGTTTTTTCTTCGTCAAACTTGCAATGTCCCGTACTGAGCCCTTATGCGGAATCGTCTTTTTGCCCTTTTACCGCATGAGTGATTTTGCCTCACTTGAGAACAATAGACACCTAGCGACTTCGTCGCTTATATACCATTGCATAAGACCTGTCGACACTAAAATGAGGTTGACAATATCGGCTGTATACTTAATCGGTTGCGGCTGTCTAGGGCTAGTTTTAGCAATGGAAGTTCCTGTGTTTTCATTTCGACGTTGAATCAATAAAGTTGCATGTCGTTAAGAAAGAGACGGAATGGCTCTCTTGATGAAGAGAATAGATCACCGTGATGGCATCCTTTCTTGGCTGACTTTACTTGCGTCAGTTTTCATTACTGCATGTTCTTGTGGCTTCCTCAATATTTTTGGCATCTGCTATAATTATTTTCTGGAAAGGTTTGATAATTCAAAGGAAAAGACAGGTAATTTTTGATGCTGTTGTATTTCAATCGCTCTTTAGGACAGTGTTTAAACGAAACTCACTTTGAACCTTACTCTCTGTACTGTAGGCCAAAAGATGTGCAATGTATTTGTAATGTATGATTAAATTCTTGATTTTGCTCAACCTAGATATAGAAATTTAATGGCTTGGATTGCTCCAGGTTTCGGTTAGAATTCTGCGGTCCAAAAGACCTTAGACCAATGCGAAATTGGCTATTAATTCCATCGCGGGGGCCCCTTAGTTATGTTAAACAACACCCTAATCTCAGGAAAAACATTTTGGGCTTTGGTGCATCAGCCCTTGTCTTGCCTGAGCAATGACGCAATTTTATGGTCGGTGTTTGATTCCATGGAAAAAAGTGCCTCAGTTTTTTACCCCGACAATCAGACTGATACACCTATCACACAATCGAATGACTGTGTGAGAAGAAGTGAGACAGAAGAAGGTAGGAGGAAGTGTGGAACGGGCTTTAGGCAGGAGGAGAAGCGAGTACCAGGGGACAGGGATGGAAGGGGATACGCATACAACAACGCGTGAGTCGTGCTGCAAAATATGGCATGGCTCGAGCTGCATTACTGCACTTAAACAAATATGCTAGGGCAAGACCACCTAGAAAACAGGACAAGGTGATTAGCAAATAGCTAAGGTAACTTCATATTCACAGCCTACTAAGGATATACGTGTGGGACCACCCGATTCTAGAAACGGGGGATCTGTGCACTTTCCTAAACTCGAATTAAGCGATAAATTCCCATTAAAACAATGGTATTCTTGGAGTCTTTGAAATTGAGCTGAAACCGGTAACCGGTTTCATCATTTGGATCCACAACATCTTTGACAGGTGTTTTGTAAATATTCAACGAGCTTTCAACAGAAGGGCAGGCGCCAAAATGTTTAAGGCTGGTTTCCATATAACGTATTTCGACGTATTTCATCGCAATTCAGAGTCTACGATCAATTAAGATAATTTCCGTTATATGAAAACCGACCAAAGAAATCAAAAAATTTTGTTTCTCCCGACAAAATACGTTGAATTACGATGAATTAAGATGAAATACGCTTTTCGGTTTTCAGATACCGTGAAAATCGTGGACCCTGAATTGCGATGAAATGCATCGAAATACGTTATATGAAAACCAGCCTTTATGTTTTTTTGTATCAGTCATGTTGCTGCGGAGGGCACGGGGGGCGGTGTCCCCCCTCAAATGAAAATTTTGACAGCAACTTGCCCCCTATGGCTACACTTTTTCCAAATGATATTATGAAAAGCTGGCATAATTATAATTCCGTGAGCTTGATTTAGTCCAAATATGTATTTTAATTATATATCTTCCCTCTTTTTTAAATCCTGCCAAATCAGGTATGGCTCTTGCTCGAGTTTGGCTACCCTAGCCGGCATCTACAGCTACGTGGTTGCTTTGTATTGTAGGAGATAAGGACATGAGAGCCTTATTGGTAAGCCCGGGAGGAGGGGTTCATTTAACACTGTCATATTGTCTATAGCCGTACCCATTCGTGATTAATTTGTTGCTAACGAAGCCACGACAC